TTTCTGGCTCACCTTTTGCGTAATTGTGATTCATGTGAGCGTGTACGCGATGAGGCTAGGAGTGTCGTACGGGGATCTAGCTGGAAGGGCATCGAGTTAAGCATAAAATTCGTAACGGTGTGGTAGCAACCATGGGTCGGTATATATATATTTTTTTTTTCTTTTTATCGGTTTCTGTTGCCGTTGTCCTCAAACCTGATTACGAGCTCTTTGTGGGCGTGCCCTGTTTCTTCGTTTGCTCTGTCTGGATTTGTTTGCTCACAGTCGTTTTATTGACTTTCCTTTTGTTATTTTGTAAACTGGGGTTACCTGGTGAGAAGATAACGCTCTGACTCATCGCTGGAAACTCGGGATTAGCTGAGAACCGTCCACAATACCTGAACGCTCAGTGATGCGATTGACTTTGCGAATGCTCTGTCGGAAAGTCTAGAAACTCACAGTCTAAGAAACGGAGGGTGTAGCGAGCCTCCGAGCGTCTTAATAACGTTCCGAAGCTTATAACACTGTGATATTTGCCGATAAAAACAAACGAATTACCAAGCAACAAGCCGGCTTTTGATAGGCCCCGCCGTGCGTTTATTAATCTTTCACTCACAGTCAATGCACGAGTATTCTTCTATAGGGTTTATGAATACAGATACACAGGCGAGAGTGCGGAATATATACGGAGATATATATATATATTTAAATTGGAGAGTCTCAACTCACCAAAGGCGAAAGAGACAAAGGTGTAAGAACGCATTCAAAAACAGTGCTCACACTCTAGAGGCACTTGGGGGAGCCAATCGCTCAAATTTTTGGAGGAAGCTCGGCATAACGAAGGGACCGATGATATTTTAAAGCTTAAACCTAAAACAAACTGTCTGCTCTGTGGCACTGAGCACATTTCACTGTGCTCAGTACCAGTGGCGTCACTAAAGTAAACGGCACCCGGGGTGGTGGACCGCCGCGACACCCCTCTGCACCCCCTTCCTCTACTCTATATCGTGGCCCGCCGCGAGACCCCCCCCCCCCCCCCCCCCGTCCTTTTTACTGCCCAACTGCACCGCCCTGAGCGCTACACCCAGAACGGTCCGCAGTCCCTCCCACTCTGCCCCCCGCCCCTCCCCCCGCCTCTCTTGTGACGCCTTCTGCCCAGTGTCGAAGCGCAGACCGTTTCTTGGAATCTATACTTCGTTTGTGCTCAAGTCGCTTACGCAGCCGACGCAACGAGATGATGGAATTAATCAGACAGCGTCAAAAGCGCACCATCATGTTTCTCTACGTGTTCTACCGTCACTGAACCAGTCGTAAACAGAAAAGGCCCAGTGACTTGCGCTTTTGACGCTCCTTCATTGGTCCCATTTGCTCGTAGCGTCGGCTGCGTCTGGACTTAAGCTGTAGCGAAGTATCGTCAAGTCATCAGCCCCGTCGTTCGCCGATCGCCCTCCGTAGACGGCAGCGATTGGCTCCCCTTGTGGGAGGGTTTAAAGTGCGGAGTGTACAGAGCGAGACAGACAAATGTGTAAGAGCGCAAACGAGGAAAAAGGGCAGCGTTCTTGCTTTCCCGTGGATTGGTCCTGACGTCCACAGGCAAAGAAGGCGGATCGCGTTTGCCCACGCATCCGACTCTCAGGTCCGAAATCACGATTAGCCGAACGCCCCGTGACGATTGATGAACTCGCCTCGGGGCCCTACTGTCGTCCAATTAGCCGTCGAGCACGCCTCCTGTTTACATGGGGACGCCTTCCCCCCATCCCCTTTCTCGTCGGTCGTAATCCGCCTCCTCCTCGCCCAATGTAAATGGTCGCATCGGGTGTGCGGTGTTACCGCGGCTCGGACGCAACCCCCGCTTTCATAACCGAGGATGAGCCGGAGCGGCGTGTGCGGATCAGCTTCCTAATTACAATCCTTTGGGTAAACAAACGCCAACCGTGGACGGGGAAACTCGAGCGAAGGCGGCGAAGAGGCGACCAGAAAGAAATTGGTTTGCGGCAAACCGGCGGGCTCAGGTTTTTGTTTTTTGCTTCTTTTTTTTATTTATGATTCTACGAGAAAACCGTCACGAGGAACCGTCACGTAAGGAGCACCATGAAGGAGACCGTCACATCAATTTACCCGCTACATTTAGCGGGGAACCTGACGCCAAGTAGCCACGTCATGTCAACTCCCACGAGGCTGTTCTGCGAGGTGACACTTTGTGCTAAACAAATTCTGTGCTCGTCCCCGACTTTTGCCAGCATAATCGAGCTAGCAATTCTTTAACTTGCTCCGTTGTTTTATTTAAATCTTACTACCCTTCACTTGATCTTAAGACATACTAACACACTAGCGAGTTCTATCGGGTGGCTCTGGCGTACCTTATCTTCGCAGTTTCGTGATTCGTGCTCCAGCGTTTTGCTTCGGTTAATGCCGCTACCTGATTAGCTTCGAGCGATAACAAAGGGCTCTGCACTCGCTTCGCCCTGCGTTTTTGGCGTGGAGAAACCATACGACCGATAGCCATATATACGCACCCGTGCGACCCATTTCCCACATTGCGAAACGAAGGAACCACGTGACCCGTGATGTGCATTTTTCTCTCTGAAGTACGTACAGGTCAGTTTGATTTTTGGATATGATTTCTAGCGTCCTTTCTCAGTCATAATGCACAAAAATCACAATGTTTTCTTTTTTTAGTATTTAATATTTTCCCGATTAGCGATATCTTAATTAAGTACATGCGGCGCACAGCACCAACTATATTCTGCGTGCTTTATGGTATAATACTTGCGTACGGTAGATTCTGTTGAATCACTTAAAGGCCGGTTCAGACACTTGCGTTTTAGTGCGTTTGACTGCGTTGCGTCGAGTGCGGAAAGCTAGTTACCGGCACATCTGTGCTTCGTATGAAGCGTGGAATCCATTCCAAGGAATCATCTTGGCACGCGATATAAGCAGCAGGGATGTCCTGGTTTCTCGCTGCCGCAACGCACTCAAACGCAGTCAAAAGCAACTGTCTGAACCAGGCTTAAAAGCCGATTAACAGGCAGAGAAGAGAAGAGCTCTTCCTCAATTCCTCCTGTCTGTTGAGGAAAGAGAGACCTCCTCCTTTCTGCGGGAAGCAGCTCGGATACCCGCTTCTGTGGGGAGAGGACGAGAGAAGAGTGCGGGAGTGAAGGGAGAGAAGAAAACTGGGGACGGGTTTTCTGCCCGGCAGAAGGCGATTCTGTAGGATGGCCATTAAGATTTCAATTTACGCTGAAAAAAATACCGAATTTTCGTATACTTCTTCGTATCGGTCATTCGTATGGTATTTTGATATATAAATCGTACAGGTGCGTGTATCTTTTGGTGTTTTTTTTGTTTTTTTTTTCTTGTGGGCTGTCAGTTTTAACAGAGCCAAACTAGTCGAGAACTTTATGTGAAATGAGACAACTTATGCCTCGAATGTAGAGTGCCAGGCCCGGGTAGCGGAATGAATAAGCAGCGTACTGTATACACTTCTGCTTGAGCGAGAGGTCTTTTTTTTATATTAAATTGGATAGAAGTCAGAAGAACTGCAAAGACTTTAATTGAAAGATGTTTCGGGAAAAGACATTTCTTATTCAAATCTAGAAAAAAAAAACTCAGTTGTAGGAGAGGAGTCTCATTCAAAAGTGCTTGTTAAATACTCCTGTTACAACTTCCAGCGTCCTTGAAAGGAAGCAAACATTTTCTAACCTATCTGTGCTGTCAGACCTGAAAAAATCGACATACGCAGAGTACGCTACGAGGCTGATAAATTTCCGTGGTATCGTTTATTATGTACTGAAACTTATACCGGGACTTCCTTCCGTCCCATGATCACTTACGCCATCCAGTGACGTGAAGCGCCACCTATGAGAGAGCCACTCTGTGGCAGTGACACTGTATCCGAAAATGACGCCGTCGGGTCACGTGACCAATAGAGTTAGGTCGCGTGATCAACGACGCCACTGGTGACTTAACATTATGACGTCATTACTCACGTGACTTGATGACGTCATGTCAGTAGCGCTTACTAGTCTCGCCTTTTGCATCATAGGTTTATCTACAAGTTATCTACATTCTGCATTCAAGTATACCATATTTCAGTGACGCTTTTTTGCCGTTTTTGTTAACTCACATTTAAGACCCCATTTTTTGCAACTCAGTAACAAAAATCGCAATCGATTAGATTTTTTATTTATGTTTTTCTTTCCTTTTTTTTATAAATATATATTACGCGTAGTTGAAAAACATCGAAAAATTGGGTGGCCGCCTCTACAAGCATCGTGAACAAGACGTTTCCACAAACACGAGCGCAGTTACCAAACAGAAACAATGCCTGGCTTCTTTAACGAGCCTGCAAAATCTCCATTCTAGAAGTACGTTAAAAATAAGTAACCCTCGCGCCGGCGTTCATCGGGCGTACGTTGTTAATCTCTCCGTCTCCGCTTGTATAAACGCAGCAATCGACGTAATGCAGACGAGGACCATAAAAAAAAAAAAAAATTCTGCGAACATTTTACGGCCCTGGCAACGTGTATGGTGTATAGCACATCGGTGAAGCGCTGTATTATCGGCGCCATCGGGATTATTAGTGCCGTATCGTAATATTTTCATACTCCAACAGCCGCACCACGGAAAACCAAAGATGATAGTTCGCGTAAGAACCTCGAAATAAAAGAGCAATCTTAGTGACATAACACGTGCCTTTCAGAATATTTCTTTTTTTTTTTTTTTTTTTTGTGTATCGAGAACTTTTAAGGAAAGGAAACTTCCGTTAAGCAGCGGTCCCACCGCTAGTACATTATACAAACGACAATCTGCAGGCGACACTGTCTGGCGCATGTTTTTTTCTCGTGTGGCAGTTCTGTCACATTGGCCATAAAAAAAACTGCCTGCGGAAATACTATGCATTTCGCTTTCAAATAACAATGATTTGATTGGAACTCGGCACGTTGCCCGATCCACCCGTCGTGACTGTACAGAGGTTATGATGCTGACCCCGCGACCTCCTTCTCTCTCGGTGTGCGCAGCTCGCTCAGCTGGAGCTGGTCCGTCGTCCCGGCGATGGTCGAATGCTGGTGGCCACGCTGGTCGCCTGTGGCACCGTGCTGGCGCTCGTGGTGGCCGGGTCCGTGGCGTACCTGGTGCGACGCTCCAGCCTCCGCTCCAAGGAGAAGCTCCAGGGACTCGCCCAGCCGGACACCGAACCCAGCCAGGACTACCAGGTATACACTCGTACGCATGCTTCACTTCGACTGGCCTTCCTCGAGGGGAAGGAACTATTCACTCTAAGAAGCCCTGCGAGTGTCCTCTCTTTTATACAGAGGTAGCCCAATTACGGCGAGTAAGAGGAAAATCCCGGAGAACGAAAAAGCTCGGGATAACATTAGATCTGAGAAATGCGATGTGGGCAGGGACGGTGAGCAAGCGGAACGTCGTCCTCATCGTTCCTGTCCACGCGTAAATGTTTTGTACGTCTAATCGTGTTATAAGGGTCGCCATTTGCTGCGATACTTCTATCGTTTGCCGTGATTGGCTGTCTCCGTGCTCTGCAGGAAAGTGAGCTCACACTGTTTTTAGAGTGTGTGCGCAGGGCAAGTTTGTCCGCTTCTTACACAAGAGTTGCGATGATGTAAGAGGGTCAAGCACTTACTGGCTGAATAAAAAGAATTGTAGGTAGACCTCGAGACATGTAGCATTGAGGTCTATCTACTATCCTTTCAACCGAAACCAATCGGAGCTCGGCGTCGTTCTGACGTCACCGAAACTCCAGCGCAAGAAGCAGACGACTTGCTCTCCGAATAGTCACTGGCCGTTAAAAAGCCTCAGGGCGTGGCATAATATGTTTACGCGTCTTAATTTATGATAGCATCTGCTCTGTTCTTATCGGTTGATCTTATAGGGTATGCGGAGCGATAAGGTGCTCGAAGCCCGCTACGGCCTGCGTTTCTTAAAGCTGCAAAGGATCCTATTCTCGCGCCCTTTCAGCGCCGACGTCCTCTCATTAATAAAATGCATTGACAAAAAAAAACTGTCCAGAGCTTTGCGGGGAAGCCCTCACATTCAGAGTATTCTGAATGTGAGGGGAGAAATTCCGCACCGAAGAGACTCTTTTCATGAGTGCGCACAATCCTGCAGCTGCTGCGTCGACCATACGACGCTTCCATGCTTGTTGGGTGTGCACTTTGAGCATGCACTAAAGCAGGCTTTACGTCTGCGTTCGACACGTGCTCGAGTCGACACGACTGCTGCCTCAGCACTAGGCGTGGGCACGGATTCAATCGCACGTTTCGCTCAGGAAGCGATTCCCTAATTATATCTGCCACCAATGTTGCTCGATGAACTTTGCAAAGGGGTCTATTTTATGACAAAAGTGGCGTGACTTCGCCGCTCCAGAGCCCCTGCGCCGCTCAGTACGGATGCGCCATCCTGCGGACGTTATGGAAAACGTAAGCAAAAGCGATTGCATCCATCAGTCTCCCTCTACCCATCCCCGCTTGTCTTTCTCTCCTCAAGATTGCTGCCCCCATAAAGCGATCTCCGCCTAACGTGCCCAATGCGCCTGGGTGCGTTGAGCATATTGAGGGGAACATTGTACTTTTGTGGACAGAGCCTCTCCTTCAGCTGATGTTGCTTTCGCTCTCTCTTAGAAAGTTTTCGTGTGGACTTTTCGCAGAGCGTGCACGCTGCGAATTTCCACTTTCCTACGGGCGCATCCTCGATCCGTGCCGAAAGTGACGGCACGGGTAGATGCTGAGAGAGAGGAAGAAACGAAAGAACGCGGTATGGTCAGAACATTCGCTTGGGAGAATTGTGTTTCGGCGCCTCGCCGGAGCGGGGCGCCAGCCACGTGGCTCTCCTCTCATTCGTTGTCTGCCGGTCCCCCTTTTACATTTCGGCGGCCGCTTCTCTTGGCGATCTGCCCGGCTTTGTCAGTATATGTCATATAAAGCGCCTCGCGGTCCGGGATGCGTGTGGGGAGAGAAAGAAGAAGACGAGGGGTGGTGCAGGAGCGAGGGATAAATCCGACGGTGTCCTAGTTCCACTTGCCTTGGCTCTTCTTTACATAGCACTCGGTAACACGACATGGCGGCAGCGGTGGGATTCGGCAACCGGTAAATATCGTCTCCGAGGAAGCTAGAAGCACCACAGGAGAAGACGTAACAAGAACAGCGAAATCTTCCACCTGGCCGGCTCCATGAACGGGAACAGTGACGGCTCCGGCACTTCTACCTCCCAGGTGAGCAGCTCCCAAGCGAGCAGCGGTCCTTCTTTCTTCAACCCCTTCGCGGTCGAGCTCCTTGAAAAGTTGGATTTCAGTAATCCCCACGACTGGAAAAGATGGAGCACACGCTGGGAAAGATACCGGTTCATTTCCGGACTCCATCAACGGGACGCCGCGACACAGGTAAACACATTCCTGTACGCCAAGGGGAGAGAAGCGGAAGACGTTTTCACGTCACTTCATCTGTCAGAGGCAGAGCTAAATGACTACGGCGTAGTGAAGAGCAAGTTTGAACCCCACTTCATTCTGCGCGTAAACGTCATCTTTGAAAGAGCGAAATTTAACATGAGGAAGCAAGAACCACACGAGACAGTGGAGGCCTTCATCAGGACCTTACACAGTTTAGCGGACTCCTGCGACTATGGACAACTTCGTGAGGAGCTGGTCCGTGATCGCATCGTCGTAGGTCTCCAGCTCGACGCCAAGCTCACGCTTCAAAGTGCGACAGCGTCAGCACGATATTTCGAGACAGTGAAACGACAGCAAGCGGAGCTTCACAGCGATAAGACGGAGTCCAGAAAAAACGAAGAGCTCCGAAACAGATACCCAAAAGATAACGGCAAGAAAAAAGACACACGCGCTCGGGGGACATCTAATCGGCAAGGAGATTCTAACAGTGCGGCGTGGAAATGCCGATGGTGTGGCAGTTTGTGCAAACATGAAAAAACACAATGCGCCTCAAGAGCCAAGAAATGCAACGCTTGCAAGAAGGTAGGACACTTTGAGAGCGTATGCTTCTCCAAGCTTGCATCAGGGTCTCACAGGTCACAAGTGCACAAACCTGGTCTCAACAAAGTGTTCCTGGGTGCACTGGTACACGCAGATAGCGGAGATCCCTGGTATATCAAGGCGAAAGTCAACAACCAGGAGATCACATTCAAGGTGGACACTAAGGCGGACGTTACTTCCATTCCTCATACCGAGTACAAGGTCGGAGAGATGGCAAAGCTAGAGCCAGCCGGAGAAGATCTTCGGGGGGCAGGGTACTCGCCGTTGGCAACACTCGGGAAGTTCCAGGCGACGATAACTTGGAACGGCAAAACAACGAGAGAAACTGTCTGAGTACCGGAAAGACTCCGACATCCTTTACTCGGTCTCCCGGCGATTCAGGCTCTGCAAGTGCTGCCAAGCCTGAATGAAATCAAGGCTGACAACCATCTAGAGCATGATCGCGTACTTACCAAATACCCGTCTCTGTTTCAGGGACTGGGGAAGATGAAGGTACTTTATACGATCTCCTTTCACCCAGATGCGAATCCTTTCGCCATCACGTACCCACGACGAGTGCCCATCGCACTTCTGCCCAGTGTAGAGCTGGAATTGAAAAGAATGAAAGAGATGGACGTCATCGAGAAAGTGGAACATGCCACAGTCTGGTGCTCACCCATGGTGGTGGTTAAGAAGCAAGATGGAGCTCTCCGGATCTGTGTGGACTATACGCAGTTATACCAACAGATTGTACGGGAACGAATCATCATGCCGACGGTGGAGGAAAACATAGACAAACTCGCAGGAGCGACTGTCTTCAGCAAGCTGGATGCGAATGCAGGATATTGGCAGGCACCACTGGCTCCAGAGTCAAGAGAGCTGACGACATTTATTACACCAGTGGGACGGTTCCAGTTCAAGCGACTCCCGTTCGGGATAGCAACAGCGCCAGAATTCTTTCAGCGCGAAATGCTGCGGATCCTCGAAGGAATCCAGGGCCAAGTGTGGCACATGAACGACATTTTAATTTTTGGTCGAAACAAGCCTGAACATGACCGAAATCTTGAACTTACACTCCGCCGCCTCCTTGAAGCTGGGGTGACCTTACACACGAACGAGTGCGAGTTCGGCAAAAGCAGCATCGAGTTTCTAGGGCACATAATAGACAGAAAAGGTATTGCGCCTGACCCCAAGAAAACTGAAGCCATGGCCAAGATAGAAGCTCCCGCAAATTTGGTTGAGCTACGGTCATTCCTGGGGATGGTGAACCACCTCGGCAAGTTTCTACCGAACATAGCGGAGGAAACCAAGCCACTCCGAGATCTTCTGAAAGGAGATGCAAGTTGGGTCTGGAGGGAAGCCCAAGAAAAAGCATTTCAAAGGATCAAATGCTTGTTGGGTAAGACTCCAATCCTCACGTTCTACGACCCAAACTCGCACCGGACGCTATCAGCTGATGCTTCATCGTATGGACTTGGAGCGGTGCTACTCCAGGAGCATGAGGACGGCATCAGGCGTCCAGTAGCGTACGCTTCGAGAGCACTGACTCCGACGGAGCAGAAGTACGCGCAAGTCGAAAAAGAAGCATGGGCGATCGTTTGGGCTTGCGAACATTTCCGCACCTACTTGGTAGGTCAGGGGTTTCATGTCGAGACGGATCACAAGCCATTGGTACCGTTGTTGTCAACGAAACGTCTAGACGAGATGACGCCAAGATTACAGCGTTTGCGAATGCGCATTTTTGAATACGACTTTACGATATCACACGTCCCGGGCAAGCATGTGAACACAGCAGATGTGCTGTCCAGGAAACCTCTACAAATAATGGAACACCCGATATACTCTACGTAAGCGCTAGTCTAAGAATATGAAATGCTCACGGTCGACCTACCCCCGGCGTCTGTTTCATTTTTGGACAGATTGAGGTCCGAACTAAAGAAAGACCCATGCAGGGCAAGGGTAATGACGTACTGCGAAAAAGAGTGGCCCGCGAGAGAAACGCTTCATACGGATATGAAGGGGTTTGCTAGCCTTTCTGCAGAGCTGAGGACTACACAAGGCCTACTAATGCGCAATTATAGGCTTGTTATCCTACGGAGCCTCCAAAAAGAAGTACTAGAGCGACTTCAATGTGGACATCAGGGGGTCGTTCGGTGCAGAGCACGAGCAAGAGATTCTGCGTGGTGGCCCGTAATCAGCAAACAGATACAGGGCTACGTCAGCCGGTGTAAA